TATAGGAAGGTTTTTAGTAGGAACATCGTCAGTGGTGGGTTTCACATTTTGTTACCACTGGTTCACTGGGTGCGTGTGTGCTCCTGCTTCGCGGGCACATAGACCCCTTCCATGCATGCACTTTGCTAACTCGTGCACCTTCTACGCATGCGCCCGGCCTTCCATGCATGCACTTTGCTCACTCGTGCACCTTCTACGCATGCGTCTGGCCTTCCACACATGCACTTTGCTCACTCGTGCACCTTCTATGCATGCACCCAACCTTCCACGCATGCACTTTGCTCACTCATGCACCTTCTACGCATGCTCCCAGCCTCAAAAAATGTGCCTAAATAGGACTGCATAGAGCCAGGGCGGGCCCACCTGTGATTTCTGCTACTGGTTCAGGTGAATTGTTCCGAACCAGCTGAATACCACCTCTGAACATCATATGTATTTTTTTTAATTCATTCAGAATTAAAAGACCCTTTTAAATGTTTTATAAAAGTTATTTATCATAAAAGAGAGCTTGGTCTGGGACAAGCCAAAAGAGATTTTATGAATCATAAACCACGAACTCTTATGCTGGTTTAATGACGAAATCCACATTTTTGTGGGTGAATCCAGTCTGTTAGCACATGTGTACAACTGTGTACCAAGTGAACGAAGTTATTTGCACAAATAAAACCTGCAGGCTTTATCCTCTCTTGTCTTTCTTAAATCCATACAAAGGATATGCAACATTATTTTTCAGAATGGGAGGGGGGGAGGCTTTTGAATATTGAATGCTAGATTTGTGAAAGCAACGTGGGTTCAAAAGACTGTGTCTCTCCTGGGTTCTTCTTCATTAAGCAGACCGTGGAACGCTGCCAGCCAATCTAGAAATTGCATGTGGTCTTTTCTTCTGGGGGAAGGGGGTAGGTCGTGATGGTGGTGGTGGATTAATCTAGGCAGAGATGCCTCCTGCGGACTGTTAAAATGGAGAACAAAGAAAAAGAAACTTTTTTTTAAAAAAAAAGCCATAGATGCTATTAGCTTAATGTTTCTCTTCTCTGATCTCCTTGCTCTGCTTGCTTTGTATAGTTTAATCAAGATATTTTTTTTAAAAAAATATATGCGGACCACGTAATTGAAAACAAATTTACCGTGTCTTAGACCATCAAGTTCCCTTTCAGCTAGATGGTTGGCTATGCGGTAGATTCATCTGCTTTCAATTTTCAATGATGTGAGAAATATAGAATGGCTTGATTTGTAATTGTGAGTGTTAATAATGAAAGAGATATTCTCTGGTCTGGAGTCTGCACAGGAATCCTGGCTCTGTTATGCTTCACGTAATGAAACCCAATTCAAAAGCTGCTGTTATTCTTTACTGAACATTTTTTTAAAATGCTCAGCTCACTTTTTAAAATAAACCCAGGGCTCCTTTTACTTCCTCCAAACATACGCCGTGTACAGGATACATAAATATTTGCATAGAGAAAGATTGCCACGAACATTTTGAAAACTTGTTTGTTTAAATACATATTTCATTTGGTAAAAGGTTTGTTTCGGCCTGTCACCATCAGTGTCAAAACAGTAGGAAACAGTTTTTAATCCAAACAAGTATTTTATGGAGTGCTCCGCTTCATTTGGGGGAAGGGATTTGGGATATATGTTGTCAAGTTTTTATTTTATTTCTGATGGTAGATAATCATTTGATGAAAAATTGAAGATCCAAAGGTTTGGAGGGATCTTTTTGTTATGCCTTGGAGTTCCTTAAGTCAAGCTGTTAATAGTCTTTTTGGCAAATTAGGAAGTTCTAAACTACAGGCCGTTCCCAACCTCAAATCTACAATATATTGTTTGTAAACCTTCATTTTGGCCCATGTGATTTTAGAGTTTTCAAAAAAGACAATGCCACAGTATGGCTGTTACTGCATATGTGGCTTGAAAAAGATTTCAGAGAGTTTAAAACAGGGGTGAAATCCAGCAGGTTCTGACAGGTTCTGACAGGTTCTGGAGAACCAGTAAAGGAAATTTTGAAGAGTTCAGAGAACCGGTAGCGGAAATCTTGAGTAGTTTGGAGAATCGGCAAACATCACCTCAGGCTAGCCCCAGAGTGAGGTGGGAATGGAGATTTTGCAGTATCCTTCCCTTGGAACGGGATGGGAATGGAGATTTTACAGTATCCGTCCCTTGGAATGGGGTGGGAATGGAGATTTTGCAGTATCCTTCCCCTGGAATGGGGTGGGAATGGAGATTTTGGAGAATCCTTCCCCTGGAATGGGGTGGGAATGGAGATTTTGGAGA